AGAGCATCCCACCTGGACCCATCCCGTTTCTCCACCTGTGGCCCTTCTGCCTTTGCAGCCCTCCCGGAGAGCCTCTGGGAGGCTCTTAGCTGTCCCCAACCACAGCTTCTGGGGGTCGCTTACAGTTCTGGTCCTTTCAGGAGGAAAGCTGCTGTCAGCCATGTGACCGTGTTCCGCACACCGTGCCAGAAGACAAGAGCAAAGAGGAGCACGGATCCAGCCTTTCTTCCCACGGCCAGAGGAATGGTGCCACGGAAAGGGCCCAGAGCACATCCCCACGGCGCCGTGGCTATGATCTCCGGAGCGGGTTCGTGGAGTGCAGGGACTACCACCATTCTGGGAGGAGGAGGAGCAGCAGAGCAAGTCCTCCACGTCAGGATCAACCCTCCGCATCAACCCCGCCGAGGGGGAGAGAGCGGAGCAGATCCCCACAGCGGGGCCATGATCTCCACAGCTGCTCTGTGGAAATCACAGACTGTGACCCCTCAGCAAGGAGGAGGAGGAGCAGGAGGAGGGGGAGGGTTTCAGCGCCCCAGAGACGCAGGTGAACCAACCACTCGGGGCAGTGTGGGGGTGACGGGGGCAGACTGTGGCCCTGCGTGAGGGCAGAGCACAGCATCTGACCTCTGCAGTGCCAGACGGGAGGAGGAGGAGGAGAAATCCAGGAAACACCAAAACTGCCCCCAGCAGAGACCAAGCTGCACAAAGGGCACCAGCAGCCCACCCTGTCCCTCCTCCCAGTGCTGCCTCTGGCCAGGAAGAGCTCAGAGAGACCTTCCAGAGACTCGGGCAGCTCTGCCGGCTGGCCCGCCTGCCCAGAGGTCCCTCGAGGAAGAGCTTTAATCCTTGTTTGGCTTGTGGGACTGCCTTGCAGAATCAGCACTCCTTTGGGAGCCAAAGACAGAAATAAAAACACTTGTTGGCCTTGCATGTAAATTTACGGGGTGTTTTCTTCTCTGTGGGCTTGGGGCAATTGCTGGAAAGGCCCAGTGTGGGAGGTTTATGTTGTGGGATTTTGAAGGCTGTGTGCTCGCAGGTGCCCGTCTTTCAGTCTCTTCCTTCTCGACAGGGAGTTGACGTCACTCGAACAGAAATGGGCTGTATGAGCCAGCACCAAGGGGGACTGAAACGGTCTGAACGGCCGGGCCCAGAGGGTGCTGCTCAAGGCCACCAAGTGTAGTTGGAGGCCAGTAACTAGAGGTATCGCCCAGGGGTCAACACTGGCTCCGATCCTGTTTAGTGTCGGTGTGAGCCGGCACAGGCAGGACGCAGGAACCACCGCAAAACCACGGATGAACTGCAAAGCGTGAGTTTCTTCTCGTTACCTCGTGACCCGGGGGACCTGCGCAGCAGCACACTGGCAGAGGCACGCCAGTGGGGATGTCAGCACTGTGGAGCTCAGGCCTTGCTAGCCAGGAAAAGGAGAAGAAAGGAAAAGATCTCCAACCTGCCACTTTCACCCGTTTTATCGGGGATTTTTGCAGGCGCAGTTTTCCACTGTGCTTTGGTCTCTCCCCCATCAGGGCACGAACCTCAGGGGTGTTGGATAAGGTGCCTCTGAGTCTCTCTCAGGCCTGTGTCATCTAAACGCAGACATTCTACCCGTCAGGCGCACAGAGCCACACAACTATTGCTGTGATCTATTGTTTTGCAATGCCCCAGCTGCAAGTCACTTGTGCGTGTTTGCAATCCTCCTCGCCGCCCTCCCATTGTGTTCCCACAGCTCTCCTTCTGTGGCAGCCCTGTCTCCCTGTGGTGCGTGCTGGGTGTCAGCTGGGCAAAGGGTAAAGGATGGTACCTACAGCCATGAGGACACTGTCCTGTCACCCTGCTTTGGGTACCTCAGGACGCGTCTGACTGCTGTATGGGTGGCTTGGATTGCTTTTGCTAGTTGTGGCCACGCGTCCTGCAGTCTACTCTGGTACCGCCCAGGGGTAGCTGTCTGTTGGGATAACGCTGGTACCACACAGGTAGCTTTCCTGGGACTGTGAGTTCCCAGGAGCTCAGGGCTCTCCTTTCTTTCTCCTCCAGGCAGCCTCATCTGCACTGGAGCTCTGGAAGACTTTGTCAAACCTGAGCCCCTGCATGGAGACAATGGCTGTAAATGTAGCAAGCAAGATTATTACTAAGGATATCTTCGCAGCAGGTACGGGGATACAGTATTGCATGTCTGGGAGCACTGGCCAGGTTTGGCCTTCATTGAGGAAACCACTCATGAGACAGCTTGGGTGTTTTCTTTGTGGGTTTTGGGGTTTGTTTTTTTTTTACTTCCCCTTACAAGTAATCCACCTAAACAATCTGCCACTTGGAAAGGAATATATTGCTTCTAAGATGGGTAATTTGTTGCCCTTCTCCCTGTCTATTTGCAACGCTGTGATGAGGATTTTATTCCTGGCCTTGTCTGCCCTGGAGGTAGTCAGCCTCCCTAGCTAGGAAGTTGCCCACAGAACTGACCCTGTGGCCAGAAGGGAGAAGACATGTCCCCTGTGCAGTGGTGAGCTGAAGCCACGAGGAGCACTGGACAGCGATTTGGCAAGTTCTTTTTCCTCGAGAAAGCAATCAACGGCTTCACCTCCAAGGCTTTTTGGATGCTTGTGTCTCTGTCCAGGGGACCTCAGTCCTCAGAGCAGGAGGAATAGTATAGAGTCAACTTTAAATGGAAAACTTCTTGTATGTAGGTCTCGAGCCACGAGGTCTAAGTCTTACAGCTGTAATTCTGTCACTGGTTGGTTCGCATTCCTTTTTGGACAGGAACACCTCTCACTGTGAGCCTGAGTTACCTTAACAGGCCCAGCCAGCCTAGCAGTCAAAGTCATGCGTTAATATGAACCGCGTTTAGAGTAGCTGATCTCATTCAGATGAGTTATTCTTACTCAGACAGAGCTCTTTTTGCTTACTAGCATGTGCGTACAAACAAATCTCATGTTCATAAGGAAGGTTAACATCCTTTTAGCTTGCTGTGCTCCCTGGCATGCCTGTATTCCATTTCTAAGTAGCATCTTACAATAAGCTAACAGAGGTGCCTCAAAGAGTGGTAAAAATCCCCGCAGCAACCCGAATGTGGCAGCCCAAGCTGTGAAGGGGCACTCCCCCGGTGCGTGGGGAAGCCCAGGGGCTGCCAGCTTCTGGCTACGGGAGGTGCCGGGGCTGTGGCGGCTGCGTGGCTGCAGTGCGTCCCGTGTCACAAAGGGGCAGTGGTGCAGCACCCACTCAGCAATTGTGACGTCACCTGGCCAGGACCTGGTACCCGAAAAGCGGGCTGGGGAAGTCCAGTTGGGCTGAGCTGGCCTTCGGGAGAACTTGGCTCCTTCCTTTGGTACCCGAGTGCCTCCTTTTTTCCAGGCATTTCTCCGTTTACTTCCCATTTCTCTCAGCTTCCACCCTCTGCCAAAGGTAATTGTGATTTGACTTTCAGGACAGATCGTGAGTGTAGGTAGCTGGGGCTAAAAGGGCCTTTGGAATTGCTGTCAGCCGGAGTCCTGTGACAGGGACAGCAGGGCCATCAGCCTGCAGCTCGGCAGCAGTTACAAGTACCACTGAAACACTTTGGGTGGCGGCTGCTGTTCTGTGGGTTGCGTTTGAGGGGTTTTAACCATTTTGATGATCTGCGATTATTTCGGGGGGATCGGGGATTTGCGCTGATCTTCTCTTTCGGGAGAGCACCCTGACACCCTTTGCCATCCAAAGCGTCTCGCTCTGTTCCCAAGAGGAGCGATGGCCACAATGGGGCACGACTCCCGGGAGTAACGGCTTCCCCAGCAGGTTTGGCAACAGACGTGGCTGGTGCTCCACCCTGGAGTGCTGATGTGCTGACAAGCTAGAGTGAATTCTGGGGCCTCTCCTGATCGCAGCCAGACTGACCCAGGTGTTTTCAAGGAAACAGGAAAATGTGTCTCCTCACTCCTCGGCCACTAGTACAAGCCTTTGAAAGGTGTCATTGCTCTTAGAAAGATCTGGCCTCAGCGGGGTCACCTTCTGGGCTAGATACTTGCTTGTTTTCGCCACCTCACTATCAGGAAGAGGGAACACTTGAGCTGAGAATCCAATTCCAGACTCCAGAGG